ATGCATGCATACATGCTTGTATGTGTGGGTGTGTGGCTGTGCGCGTGTGCGCGAGTGCGTGCGTGCGTGTATGTTTACATACATACATACATACATACATGCATGCATGCATGCATGCATGCATGCATGCATGCATGCATGCATGCATGCATACTAACATACTAACATACATACGTACCTACCGACATACATACCCACATACACACCTACAGACAAAAAACAAACAAACAAACAAACAACAAACCTACCTACCTACCTACCTACCTACCTACCTGCCTGCCTGCCTGCCTGCCTGCCTGCCTGCCTGCCTGCCTACCTAACTGCCTGCCTACCTACCTACCTACCTACCTACCTACCTACCTACATACATACATGCATATATATATATATATTTTTGCGGGATTTGCGTGCGTTCAGCGGTTTGCGCAGCTTAATTAGAGAGGGCATGCAAAGGGCGTGCGCATCTAAATGGCGCAGCCAGAGCGTGGGACCAAAACTCCGGAGGGGCATCTATGAACACTGTACAACCACTGATAATGTGGTGCCATGCCTGGCGGAGCTGAGTCGGTAACAAAACTCCGTAGTCATCAGCCACGGCCGATATTTCCACCCTGCCGCAGTGCTGGCGCCAATCGGCTTCCCAGCGTGACAGCACTGAAAAGGTCATGGGGGAAAGGGTCCCGTCAGCTGAGCTAGTTGGGACAGTAGCCTTTGGCCACTCAAAGTTAGTCACAAGCTGCTTGAAGGCCATGAGCGAGTGACATTCTGGAATGCTCTTTATATCAGGAAGTCCAGGGGTCCCAAGGGAGGACTTGACCTGTGCAAGAGCACGGAAGATGTTCTGCACTGTATTAGGGTCCCACGGGTCACACGGGTCGTCATTGTGCAAGTCAGTGACATCAGACAAAGTGCGGTCAAGGATGAGCAGAAGCTCATCGTGGTACAGCGGGCCCTGAAACAGTATAACAGATACCGCAGAAGCAATGTCTGCAGTCGGGGTTGAGCCATCGACCGCTAAAGTGACATCACATACATCATGGTAAGCCTGCTGTTGCTCTTTACCCCAAACTGGCTCCTCAGGTTGCGGAGGGATGCAACCACGGCGATCCGGCAGGGAGAGGGTAAAGCACAGGCTATCAGCTTGACGTCTTTTTCTGCTGCCGAAGCCTGGTGCAGGGCGCTCGACTTGCTGACCTTGTCTGGCCAGGGCAGCAACACAGCCAGGGCTGGCTCTTAAGTGGGCCGCGAGTCGCCCTGCCGTCCAGAAGGACGTATCACATGCAGCACACGTGGTACCCTCCGCTACATGACGGTACGCGGCAACTCTGCCATGCTTCTTAGAGAAGTGCACGCTAAGGCCAGCCTTGTTACAAAAGGATCGACGGCAGACATGGCAATACCACTGCATCGAGGGCATCGCTTCAGGGCAACTACGAGGAGCGGTACGGTAGCAGTGCCACAGACAGACAAGGATCGAATCCTCGAAGACGTGCTCCTGGTGAGTCTGACGAAGACGCTTCTTGACTCTTCGGCGAAAGGCCTGAGACGACGAGTTGATGATGTGGTGCCATGTAAGCCAGGCTGGCGCAACTAAGAGTGGCCAATCCTCCTCGTCACCCTGGATAAGCCAACGCAGGTCCTCCTGGATTGCTTGGAGCCAGGTACTCTCTTCCTGAAGCATTGCCCAGAGCAGCGATGGCCCCGTCTGTACAAGCGACACAAGCAAACTGAGGCGGGCTCTGCGTGCAATGAGCTCAAGCCTCCAACAGCCAGTGTACCAATGTGCAACGGGCAACGGGACATGGAAGGCACGGTGCGCTCCGACATTGGGTACCAACATTCGTCTAACCAACTTGGAGTATCCGTTACAGAGAGAGTCCCAGGACGGCCCGCTTGGGACCCAAAGACCGATATTGAAAAAGGTCGGGGTGATGGCAGACTCGAACAAAGCTGCTCTAGTGGCCAACTCAAGTCTCGGGCTGCCCAGCAAAAGAGTCTTTGCAGAGTCGTAGGAGCTAGAGGCCTGAGCAAGGCGGTGGCGGACTTCTTGCCTCATTGACAGTTTACAATCCACATAACCCCCGAGGTGCTTGTAGGAATCGGCAACCACGATACCGACACCCAGGTCAGGCAATTCTAACTTTTGCGCGCCATTCGGAAAGAATTTTTGCCTGACTTTCTTATGACCTTTACCTTTTAAGCTGATCATGACACTGGTCTTACCAGGCTTAAGGTTGGGGGCCATACCATGACCCTCGCAGAAGCTGATGACCAGAGTGCACAGTCTTTGAGTCTTCCACATCAGGCTGTCAGGATCCTCGGCTATTAGCGGGAAAGCAGAATCATCTGCCCACGTCGCATCAGTCGCATCTATGAGGCCCGTACGATCCTGTGCTGGGAAGACGCCGGCTGTTGGGTCATGCGCGACCCGGAAGGTAAGGTCTTCAGCAACTGCGAACTCATGAATCTTGGACAGCACACGGCCATAAATGTACGCATATATGAGATCGGCCCAGCTCTCGCCCGGCCGGCTGCCGGCCAAGCTGCTGCAAACCTGGGTGCCGTCCGAAAACCTGGAGACGAACCAAGTGTGAAGGTGGATATCCTTTACAACTTGGCGTAGGGCATCCGGCGCACCCGCCTGTGCCAACATGCCACCAGACTCTACCGTCATCATCAGGTCATGCAGGTCTTCACCTGTAAGGCCAAAGCGTTCGAAAAGGCGGAGGACTGTACGGTCAGCACGAATGTCTCCAACGGCAAGTTCCCGCACGATCCTGCAGTAGGCGGCCGATGTGTCCAGATAGAGTACAGAGACGCTCCGACGGAGAGCACAACCTCTACGCAAATGTGCAAGTACGTACATCGATGCAAAGGTCACTGGAGCACGCTTCTTTGATCCTAAGTGCAGCGCGTGCATTTCGTCTCTGCAAAAAGCTTGGGTTTTGTCGCGAACGACTCTATGAAAGGCTTTTGCTAAGTAGCTAGAGACGAACAGGCTGCGATAATTATCCACAGAGCTCTGTAACCCAGATCGCTTGAAGGCTTCGAAGAGCACACCCCCTCTCCACTGTATAGGCTGATGCTGAAGCACCATAGACTTCAGGAATAGCGGGAGAAGGAGGCGTGCCGCCTCAGCTGGGACCGCCTTTAGTACCTCGCCCGGTATCTTATCTAGACCGGCTGCCTTATTTCTCGGAATCGCCCTCACGACCGATTCAATGTCAGCGTAAGTGGGCAGCATTTCCGCAGTCCAGGTGAGGTCTGGCTGGTAGCAACTGTAGGTGGCCTCCTGCAAAAAGGCATCTATCGGAGTGGCCTGCCCCTGTTCTTGCCTGCCAAAGTGCAACATCCATACTTCGTCACGCTGGCGTCTTGTCGTGACAGTGGACCCATTAGACGGGTGTAGCAACATAGGCAACGGCCGAGAGATTGGGCGTGTCTTAGTACCTCCGATTCCAGCCTGCTTAACACGTTGCATGATTTTGGCAGCACCCTGGTGCCCCTCGCAGGCGATCTTGTGGAGGTAGGCACTTTTAGCAAGAAGGATTTCTCGCTTGATGGCACTCGTGGCGATTTTAACCGCAGCCGCTGCGAGCTCGTATAATCGGCATTGTTTGCCTAGCAAGAGCGTCACACTATAGTCCTGGCATTCCTTCCATTGGTGGAAGGCTCGGCATACCAGGTCGTGCCACAACTGTGAGCGATGGCGAACATGCCGTTTGAAGTCGAGCTTCTGCTCTCGAAGACGCCAGACCCGCTCAGGGATATACGAGGCTCGCCTGTGAGTCCTTGGCGCCGGGAAGTGTGTTTCAAGAACATGACACAGATGCTGCTCTATTGCACGACAATGCTGGTCCGGGGCAGCGTTCCATCCCGGGTGGCGAAAAGAAGGGAGAAGTCTGCTCAGACAGGCTCGTCCTTCAGCGGACATAATCTTGTCACGATCATACCGTGTCCGCCGTAGCTTGGGGGAACGCCCATGGGCCTCCAGTTGTCCCTGCAGGCTCAAGCACAAGAGCCTGTGGTCATCTTGAGGGCTACCATTGTCGAAGGTATCATCAACCTCAGATCTAACTTTTTCCAAGACAGCTTGCCCTCCTAAGAGGGTGTAATCAATGCGATGCTGCTTTCCACTCGGATGGGTATATGTAGCAGAGTCGCCACAATGAAGCTGCGAGTAGAGCGATGGCACCCAAAGTCCACCTTCAGCTAGAAGGCCAGCAAAACTCCAACCAGTTGTATCAGCTTCCCCATATTCTAAAGATCCACTGACATCCTGGAAGTTTGGGGGAATACGGCCATTGAGGTCTATGCCACCAAGAACAAGGTGGGCATGCTTTAGACGCCGAAGAAGTGGCGCAATGACAGCCAGGAACGCGTCACGTTCCGCAGGTCGAGTTGAATGCGGGCAGTGCCCACTGATGAGGCCAATCCGAAGCTGGCCCTTGGTGATAAGTAACACTAGCAACCGCGAACTTTCATGAAGAACGGCCACATCGTGCTCATCAACATGCAAGGGTTCACCACCCAAACAGACAACCCCAAGCTGCCTATGCACCCAAATCGCTACACCCCAGTGCGATTCCGCTTGTGATTGCATACGCAAGTAGTGCTGAGAGGTGAGCGTGCCACCATCAATCTTGGTCTCCTGGAGACATGCAACATTCACAGCTCGGGAGTGTAGCTGTTCTTCGATATATTTGCATTTACCACGGAGGCTCTGCACGTTGACAGTCGCAACGTGCGCCCAACAACATTGACCTGTCGCGTCAGACTGGGTGTGGTCACTTCCAGTGACAGGAACGAGTTGCTCTGGTTGGAGGCAGTCATCACAGTCAGCAGGCGGCTCCAAGAGGAGCGCCCCATCATAGATTGGGACGGCATGATGCATTCTGGCATCCTGTTCGACTGCAAGCCATGTGATATCCTGGGCATGCAGAGCAGTGCATACATCCATTGGCGGGCTAGGCCATATTTGGCCTCGGGAAGCTGCTTTGGCCACATAGTCGGCCAGATCGTTCCAGGGGTGATCTGAATGGCCCTTGACATGCGAGTACTTGAGCTGAACGCCAGGGGTGGCTCTGGCCATCATGTCAAGGTGATGCACTAGAGCTCCTGTGTGGCTGAGGGTCTGCCAGGAGCCTTCGGCAGACCATCCTGCGGCAGTGCAGTCAAAGCACAGCTCGCACTTAACACGCTGCATGACACCAATCATTTGAAGGCTCCATAGAATAGCCGTAGCCAGAGCTACATGCTCGGCATGCAAAGCAGCGGGACAGTCAACAATCCATGGTGAAGTATCACATCCCATTATGCCGCCGCCTAAGATCCCTAGTAATGAAGTGGCGTCAGGCGTGCAGGCTAGAATGATGGCAGCATAGCCACTGGCATTCTCATCAGTAGTGGCCGAACCATCAGTATAAACAGCAAAGGAAAGCTCATCACTCGGGGTCGAGTTGAGGAAATGTGTCCACGGGACAACATGCTTCAATTGGGCTTTGGTGGTTGCAGGCAGGTCCTGGCGAGCCTAATCATGGGATAACAACCAAGTGGAAGGCCAGGGCTGCACAAGGCGGTTGATGAGGGACTGGCTGTGCGGCAGCAACACACGGTCAACATCGAGGTTGAAGGACGGTGGCGGCACATGCTCATGTAACCGAAGTGTTCGTACCATAGCAGGAGGTAGTGATCGTGCAGCATCTCCTTCGAAATGCTCGACAACAGTCTCGAGGAGAGTTGCGGCAAGAAAAAACGCCCGGGAATCAGGGGATGCTACACTGGCCTCAAGCAAGGTGATCAGGGGATCATCAAATCGCAGATCACAGGCAGGCTCATATCGTGCAGGAGGAGGATGCTCGGCTAGCTGTGAATCATGACAAACAGTATCACTCCATACAGGCTGCCAGGGCATTCCTGTGGTGATCCGCTGAGATGGATAACCTGTGTCTCTAGCAGTGGGTGCCGGAGGGAGCACTATCGGCGTATTCCGAGCTCTTGCCGGTGTGGGGACTCTACGTATGACTGCCACCTGCAATTCTTGTACATTTATACAGTCGTCACGATGCTGCATAGCGTGCGCTCCAGGGGCATGCTGTGAAATGCAGACAAAAAGGACGGCTGCATAGAAGGACACCGGCATTCCATGGCAGCCTGGGTGAAGGGCACTTCTAGACCGTCCAGGAAGAGTCGAAATGGCAAGGAGGCACGCGACCAGCCCAAGTGTAGACCCGAGCAGGGGCCAGGCCAGCAGTGCACTGTAAAGAAATAGGTCCCGAAACGCGCGGTAATTCAGAGCACTCCTCGGAAGGCACCGTCCATTGATTATATCCTTATGAGATGGGTCAGGACGCTCAATCGATGGCACAGGCCTGCCGTATCCTTGCGAGCTACTGGGGTTTATTACAACCGAACTAGGGAACAAGAGGAGGGGTCTATCACTGCTAGACCAATCCCTCGAACCAGAGGCCGATCCCCAACCATGACAGGTTAGGCATGCATTGGCTGTGCCTGCGACACAGCCGTTGCCTACAGCAGAGGGAGAGGAGGGATCATGTTGGTTGGCCTGTGGTGAGGAAGAACTGGTAGTATGGGCACGCGGCTCGTTGCCAGCACATCCAGTCCGCCTGGCCGTGGTATTCCCATGGGGCTCCTCACCATCCTCATTAGCCGGCGCAGGCTGGTCATCAGATGCTGCACACTCTGGACTGGCAGTCGCTGCATCTGCCTGCCTGAAGACTAACGTTACAACATCACCATCCTGGATAAGAAAGGGATCTTGAAGCTTGCTGAAGAATGCATCACGTACAATTCGGCCTATGCAGTATCCAGGTGGGCATCGATGAAGAAATCGGGCTAGGACATTATCAGGCAGAAATATACCCTGTGGACAGGGAATCCAGTCGAATCCGAGCAAGATAGGTCGCAAGTCGAGGATACAGACAGGAGCCCGAGCTGAGGTTGCACCATCGTGGACAGCCAAAGACCGAGCAACAACAACATTACGCAGAAGGACACCTAGTTCGGCAAAGTCTTGTATCCCGCCGAAAGCTGGTGACAAAGCGAGATCCCTGTTTGGAATTCCAACATGAGCTGCGATCTCCTGTCTAGCCCGGTGCTGTCTATGGCTCGGTACCTGAAGGGCAGTAGGACCCGCTGGTCCAAGAATCCAGGCAATATCAGACTGGTTATCTACAGCCACTGGACTGGGGGCCCAACCTGCTGTTGACTGGAGCATATCTGCCAAACTGTTAACAGTGTGGTAATGGGCATTGCGCGGGCATATGAGGACCAAGTCACCATGCCCGGGACTGACAGGACTATCTGCAGGCAAGGGCCAGGGGAGGTCTCGGAAGTATACCTCGTGTTCATCCGTATCAACAAGGCCGGCTAACTTCAGGAAATCATGACGGTAACAATGTCCAATGACCTGAAGAGCAAATAGCCTGCCGTTGGATGCCCGACTGTCTATAGCAATGATGTAGCCGGGGGGCGACCAGGCGGGGAGGCCGACGACGAGCGCAATGCCACTACATGGCTGGGGGTGCACCGCACAAAGAATTGGAACTCGAACTGCAGCAGCAGGGGGTCTGGCCGCCGCAGCTGCATTTAGAGCATCGTGGATCTCCACACCAGCAGCAAATCGAACAGTGATCCATTCATGGTCGTAATTCTGCTTCAGTAGCAAGAAGGGCACTGTTGCATGTTCTGGGCTATTGACAGGGACTGAAGCTGCAGATCCAGCATCGTCCGGCGGGTCAGGGCGCCGATCATCAGTGTGGGTATGAACAAAAGATGTGCCTTCTGTCCCATGCCAGGGTTCATTGTGGGTTCGATCTGCCGAGGCATGTTCAATGCCAGCAGGACCGAGGGTTGCTGAATGATTCGACGCAGCCTCTGCCGGGATTGTAATCACCTCATCTGGAGGATCTATGCGACCTTGCGGGGGAACAATTCTTTCATGGATGATTTCGACAGTCAAAATCTGTCCTTCATGGGTCGCGATGATGTCCTCACTGAATGGCACATCTCGTATCCAGAGTCGCCATCCCGAACCTATCTCCCCCATCAGGTCATCAATGACACCTCGACATGATATCTGACCATGTGGGGCTGGGAGACTGCGCCAGCCCAGGAAAAGAGCTCGGGCATCTAGCAGGACCCAGTGTAGAGCTGAACTGCCGTGGGGCGCCCCTTCACTGACAATGATCACAGATCGGCAGGGGAATCCATCAATCGCTGCGTTTAACACTCTGGGCGAGGAGGAGGTGATGCGTAGGGAGTTCTGCTGTATGCCAACAGACCCGGCAATTTGCGTCCTGAAATTGGCGCGCTGTCCCCTGGCATTGACGTGCAAAATAACATCGTTCCCGTGAACAACACAGCAAGTACCTTGAGACTGTGGCTCTGAAATCCTGGGGTGGCGGCCCCAGTGTTGTCGGCCTAGCAAGGCAACATGCAGCGGGACCACCGCAGGCGGTGCTGCGTCTTCATGGCAAACAAAAATAGTGTCTCCATGAACAAGATGGCATTGACTATCCCACTGGAGGAGATCACCATAGGGTCCCGCAAAGACGGAGTACTCTAAGTTGTGGGGCAACCCTACAAATCCAGGTATACTGGCACCGTAAATATATGGCGGCACGAGAGCGGAATAAAGTCTCCCGTCTATGGCAGAGCAATCAATGCAGACCTGCCTGCGCGAGGTGGCTATCTCGACCGACCATGCCGGGCAGGCAAGTAGGACACCATCTCCGACAATCGGCTGCGGGCTCGCAGGAATAAGCCGCGGGAAGTTCTGCACATGAGCCCTACACCGGGCGTCCTGTACTAGCGGAATGACTTCTGCTAGCGTGGTGGGGAAGACTAGGCTGACCTCAACAATCTCAGTAACAAAGCCTGGCACGAGTATTCGAAAGCAGACCCTAAGCGGTGGAGAATGGGGAGCATCAGCGTCAGAACCTGAATCGCTGTCATCATCAAGGTGCAGGGCGTTAGCCGGTGTCATATATCGCCAAGGAGAGCCAAGGCGCGGCGCTACATATCGAAGATGCGCCATGACATATTCGCTGTGGATCGATTCGTGGGTTGGTTTCACGAGGATTTTGCAGGCAATTCCCTCCAGTGTCCAGAGGCAAGAAGACTTATCAGCTCTGCTCTGGAGAGCAGGAAGCAGTTGCATGCCGACGCAAACAGGAGAGAAAATCTGCGCTTCTGGGGTGCTAAAATGCACAAAGGGCACAGCCAACTTATTCGGCTTAGTTGTAGCAACTACATGGGGAGGGTCCGTTGACCCAGCCCCGCGCCTGCTGCCTCTATTCCGATGCTTAGCCTTAATGTTACGAGGGGAGCGGCTCCTGATCGCTGCACGCTCTCCTCGCGGTACTCGGTGGAGGTCGTCATCATCAGGGGCTGAGTCAGAATCTGGATCAGAGTCTGAGCTATCGCTGCCTTCGGTGAGGGCCGCTGCAGGCGCATCTTCTGTTTGCGCAGCAAAAGAAATGGTGAGGACTGCACGATCGTCAGCTTTCAGGAACACCACTCTTTTGCGAACGATACGGCTGCCTCCCTCTATGTGGATGCGGTAGCCTTGGGGGGGCTCCAATTGCAGGCCCCGTGTGAAGACATCAAGGGCTGTTTCCCCACGTGCCAGTATGCGCCAGTCCATGCCACGCAAGACAGGCCGCATATCCAAGAATACAACCGTGAGAGACACAGTGATCCTGGCTGGCGGCACAGGGATGGTAGGCAGGCATTCCGTCACTATCACAACAGCTTTGCATAAAACACCCCTATACATGCCGTCTAGGATTTGGGGGGATGCCGTTTTCAGGGAGGTACGGTGCTGTGCAAATTGTAGGGCATCGGCCACAAACTCCTGGAAGCCATATACATTGTTTATGGCATGATAGTCAGCATCAATACCCTTGGCACCGCCTTCGTGCAAGACCCAGTAATGTGAGAATGAAGACGAGAATGCAAGGGGGGGGTCAGACTCCCAGCGATCTCCTACAAACAGCAGGTCCCCAAGATCTAGGAGGGGAGGAATTGAGGCCCCATATTCGAGCACCTGGATCAGGTCGCCTTGCTTGAGGATAAGCGGTCTTCCTCGTGCTCGTGCAATGCCATTTACCACAATGATAAATGTGTCGTTATCAGGCAACCCAGTTTGCAGGAGGAACGAACCCCACTGTATCCAAGGGTCGATGGTCAGGCAGTAAAGTCGACCATCAAAGGACCGACTGTCGAGGAGGACGGCCGTCCGCTGACATGCCCAGGCTGGGAGACAGATTAAACTAGCAAACTCTGCACTCGGCTGTGGATGGACCCGGCAGACATAGCCGTACGTATCCTGGTGCTTAGGCTCACGGGCATCAGAGAGCGCTGCAGATGCCTCATCCCAAGTGTAGGGTGCCTGCGCCGCGATCCATATGTGCTCCGGCCTCCTATCCGGAGCAAAAAGGAGAAACCAGATGCCCTCAGTCGGGACGGAGTTTGCAGGGCGCACGGCCGGAAGGTGCGCGGGGTCAAGTGGGCCATTAGAAATTGCCGCATAGATCCCTGTGGGCTCATCTGTTCGACAAGGCTCTTCATGGCTATGAGCGGTTATTTCAAACTGCTCAACAACCTCAGGTTGATCAGTGACAGCCTGAGGGCCATGACTATCTTGCGGGGTACTATCATCGACCCTGAAGCACACTTCTTGCCAGTCCCAGGGAGGGTCACCGGCGTCCAGAGCCGCACAGGCACTAGTGCATAGAGAGACCGAGTATCCAGGCGGGACTCGGGGGTCTATGCAACGCAGGATAGCGGAGGCCTCTATCCATACATTGCGGAGGAAGGCTCGGATACCTCTACCAACCCTTCTAGCATCGACAAAGGTGAAGCTAACCTCAGCAGGGCCAGTATCTCGAGGCGCTATGGCCACAATACCTTTAACACTCCTTCCCTGGTAAGTGAAGTCTCCCTGTGCGACGCCATGCGGGTCTCGTTGGAAGCACAGCTGTGACACATCACACCCAACCTGATTCGCTATAGCGTCAAACAGATTTATGGAGTCACTGCAGGGGCTTCGAAGGAGGCTGGCCCCATCCTCACGTACGATAAGCCAAGTATCCCAGGAAGCACATTCTGGGGCGGGAGGTTCGTACCTGGTCCACAGGGGCCACAGGGAGTCCTCAGGCAGGCTTCTCCACTGAGGCCGTGTATCCGGCCATTGGACCTGGACGACCTGACCAGATAAAAGCTTATATGGAGTTCCGGAGGCCCAGCCCACAGGACAATTTTGCGTGTAAACGTTGAAACGAGCCGCGTGGTACGGAGCAGCGAGGGCCTCAACTTCACTGCGGTAGACAAGTTGCCAGACAATATCGGCAAAGAGGGGCCCTCCTATCGCTGTCAAGTCAAAAACAACTACAGATCTCAGGGAGGCTTTTATCCACTTAGGGACAGCAACAATGGTGAGTATCCCCGCAAGTGCCTGATGAGTTATTGGAACAAAGTCGCAACACTCTTCAATGAGGGGCTCAACCTGGGTTTTTGCCTGACTAATAACAGAGGGTGCACCTCCCTCTGCAGATGGCAGCCTTAACATAATATTCTTGCGCCCGGGAATGAGGACACATATACGGAGCACGGGAGGGTCCAGTGGCTCACCGTAGGCCTCAAGGTGGGCCTCGTCTTGGCACCTTGCTACTAATATCTGAATAGGCTCCCGGGTTCTTTCGCTGACCTCATATGCAAGAGGGATCATAGGCTCCTCAGAGGCAGCGGCAGGGCCTGAGGAGCCACTTGGGAACTCATCCGGCTGCAAGATGGTAGCAGCCTCCTGCATATGGTGTAAAATCGTAGCTTCCTCTGAGCCACCGCGAACAAGAACTGGCAAGGAGAGGGCCCGTATGATGAACCCAAACAGTGACGGCCCCGGCCGTCTCGCATTACCTCTGGCAGCCTTCGATACCTTAGTGGCTGTGGCTGGGGTCATGACCGGTGCATCGCAGCATGCAGGACTATAGACAGATAGGGCCCTGAAGACTCTCTGCGGCGCACCACTAGTCATAGCATATAGAAATCTTCCGAGTGGGGTATTGCGACCCGGAAGAGGGCAGATAAGTATGCGGCAGAGGCCTAGGAAGAGAAGGCCCAAAAGCCCTGCTGCCAGAGGTACTAGATGTGATGCAAGGAGCAGGAGGAGGCCCGTAGGCAGATCAGTCTCCTCAGCTACCTTTTCATTCGATGAGGAATGTCCGGAGGACAGCTTATATAGACTCCTGGCCCATGTCCCAGAGCGACCGATACATGTGTTGCGCGCACAGGAGCTATAAACTTGTGCAAAACTTGAGATGCACGGATGCAGCATCTCATGCAGTAAAAGGAACGTCACGCCCCAAAAACGAGAGGGAGACATCCTTGGATTCGACAGGACATAGCGGTCATGTCGACGCTCACTATCACTATCTGGAGTGACCAGCGGCAAAGGCATTGCGGGTGGCGAAAAGGGGGAGAATGCCACACAGGGTGAGTGAGACCTCGCCCTCAAAAGGGGAAAGGGGGCGACCCCCGAGGGTGCATCGCAATTCCAGCAGAAGCACCTAAGAGGGCTCCGAGGGAGGCGACAGAGTAGAGTGAAGTGCATAGGAAGACCCCAAAAGGTATTGGGAGCGATGGTGGTGGCCGGCCCAGAGCAACCGATCCGGCTCTTTTGCACACACCATGGATCCCAAGGAAAAGGGGGGGGACTCACACTCAAGCTAGCAAGGCGAGCTGAAATCAAATGGGATGCGTAACCAGAGAATAGCAAGGACTGCTGCACATATGGCAGAGGAAGACATAGAGTCACCATAGTCCAAGGAAACTCCTGCCTTCGCGAGGAGGAGTAGAGGAACAAGACAGTACTCCAAGAGCCCCATGGAGTAGCCATCTTGTAACTCTCGCGAGGAGGGACGCCGCGACATACTACAGGATATGTACATCTGTACATGGCAGATCTGGAAGCAGGCAGCGACTTCGCGAAGGAAAACACATGACTCAAAGAAGCTGACCCGAGGGAGTGCTGTCCTAGGCAAAGGGCATGCGGCATCCCAAGCCGCAGCGACCACTTTGCAGAGGACGGCTCCTCCAGGTGCTTACAAAGAGCCCGGCTTATCTCCTCGACTCGCAGCCTGCACGAAGAACTCACTCCATAGTTTTGAGCTCGCCATCGGATGCAAAGAGATCCACCTCGTCCAGTTCTTCGTCGTCGTCCTCCAGAACTGGGGTCGGTGTAGCGCCGCTCCCAGTACCACTGCCCGCAAGGGTAGCAGCAGCCTCCGGAGGGAGAGGCATGGGAGGTTCTGGATGCTGGGCCTCCAACTCTTTCTTTCTTCTTTCCAACAGTTTGTCGCCCAAAGTGCTTCTTTTCGGGTCTACCGGACTGTGGGACTTTGAAGCTTCCTTGATGCCTTTTCGAGGAGCTTCCTGTGACGGGGGACGTCGGTGAGCACGATGAGGCCGTTGTCCATTGGCTGAGGGGGGGGAGGGGTGGCCTTTGGTGTCGATCCTCTCCGCCGACGGGGGGCCCGTTCCACCTCCTGCAAGTGAAGTCGAGGCCGGTGAAGAGATGTAAGGGTCTTTGGCCGCCAGGGGGCCCGATGGAGGTGTCTCCGGAAATCCAAAGTTCGGCCTGTCGGGCGGCGTAACTGGTGCCGGGCCGAACGATGACGGGGCGGCTGCACCCATCATACGCGTAGGATCCCCTTCGCCAGCCGGGAGGCCGCCAACACCCCGTGCAGCAGCCAAAAACTGCCCAAGCTCGTGGAGCGGATTCCGATGGACAGGAGCCATCTCCTCGTCTCCAATCGCAGAGCTCCAACCATCGTCCTGTCCCGCATTGGACTGCTGGAGCTGTGGCATGAAGACGCTCAACTGCTTGTGGGCTGACTGCTGTTGGGTCACCGCTTCGCGCAGTTCCTCCTCCAGCTTCTGGCAGTGCTGCAGGTGTCTTTCGCGCTCCTTCCTGTAACTCTGCCTCATATCCGAGACATATTTGTTCCAAAATTGTTGCTTTGTCTGGAGCGCCTTTTCCAAACGGAGAGTCCTGGCATCGAGCTTTCTCGTCTGGTTTACGGCCGCCTGCACCAGCTGCACGAGTGACGTCCCCGATGACGTTGAGGAGGGGACCTGTCTCGTCTCCCACACTTCGGTAATCCCCACTGCATCCGGGGAGATCGCATCGTATGCCGGGAAGGATGCACTGTGTTGGCCATGGCTCTTCGGCTGTCTGGGCGACCAGGTTCCACGCCAGTATTCCCAAGACTTTGATGTAGTATCCGAGGTAGCTCGCCATGGTCTTCCTTGTTTGCCCATTCGGGCAAGTATAACCCTTCTTTGGCCTGCTGAGGTGGAGTGGTGCCTTAACAGGGCACCTGTCAAACTGCGGGTGAGTGGGATTCCCGCTCGGTAGCAGGAGCGAGCTTTTGCTCTCTTGGATCGCAGCCGTCTGTGCCACGGGGGCGAACGGTCAAGTATGGCTGCAACGAGCGGACTTCAGTCCTGGGGCCTTCGATCTTCCCGCTAGCTACGGGCAATTCGGGCCTTGCATATATATATATATATCTTGCATGTGTGTATATATACATATACATGTAAACATAGTTTTATATTTTTAGAGAGAGACATACATATATACGTACATAAGCATATGCAATTGTGTATACACATTCACACACACGCACACACACTTATACTACTATGCAGCACTACCATTGGAATGCACAGCATCAGCACCTGTCAAACCTGGCCTGCGTGACGGTCCCGGTCATCTCAGACATCCCGTTCCCACCGACGGGCCCCATGCCGATCCTTGGAGAGGTGCTGAGGCGCAGGCACCAAGTGAACTCTGTGTGTGTGTGTGTCTGTGTGTCCGTCCACGCCCGCTGTGTTGCTTTGCTACTTGTGATTTGCACTAGCGCTTGTTGTGCCCAGCTTGACTACCAAATTCCTTGCCCAAGCTAGTCAGACGATGGCTTTCTTGCCAGGTGTATCTAGACATTACATGCAATAGCAGTAGCAGATTTGCCCACGAATGTGATAGCCAGTCGCGAGTGAGCTGGTGGCAATCCTGATCGATGCCAAGGTGTGCACGGTGCGCTCCACTGCTGCTGGGGCATGCTGGTCCGCAACGCTGGCTGCAGCGTCTGCGGGGCCTCATTGAGGACGCTGCCTAATGCAAACTCTCGCCTGATATATGAAAACCTAAGCTCCTCGCTGTGACGCCTGTGCCCTCCGGGCAGACATCTTCGGCCCGAGGCCGTCCCGTCTTGCCTGTCAGTCCAAGGCCAAGTTCTGATCGGCTTCGGATCTACATGGGTTCGCTGTGCCGGCTAACTGAGTTCAGGATTTTCCCCTTCGCCCCGGTAACTGCGGGATGTAGGGGGTAAACGCGACACAACTTCCCAAGAGTTTGGATTCGGAAAGGAAAACCGAGTTGGACAGCGACCTTGGCATGCGAGGCTGGGAGCCGTGCGGTCAATGACCACGCGGTAGCTGATGCGGGTTCCTTCAGGCGGTATGACCTGGAAGGAGCACAAGGGAACAGCTGCTTTTCTGTTGCTGCCTTGTAGTCAAGCTGCCGGTCCGGCTCTTCACGCATGAGTACCAAGGCGAGGACTAGAGGACTTACTACGGTCGCAGGATCCCAGCTGAGATGTCCCTTCAGCTTCCGGTCGCCTTGCCCCGACACGCAGGGGCAAGCAGACTGTCTGCCCTGCAGCTTTTGCGGTTTCTTGTCGGTCGGGCTGTTACGTGCCCAGGCTTGCTGTTTGGGGGAAAGGAACAACGGGATGTGCCCACATCTAAAGCTTCATCTGTACTCGGGTCTTAAGACATGCGAGATCCACCGCTGCAGGCTTGCAGCGTTGTCACTGGGTGGCAGGCCCGGCCAAAGACGTCGCAGGAAATGGGCATGACGAACATTTTCTGGCAGGAGAACCGGGCTCTGGAGAAAAGTAGTGATGAAGCGGGAGCAGAAACAAGCAAGTAGAGATGGAACAAGCCATAACAAGCCGACGCGAAAGTGGGCAAAACGCAGAACTGCAGGAACGGAGCCTGCCCGTCGTCCTGCAGAATAAAGCCGTACCTTGACCACGACAGCTTCGTGTCCAGATTCTAAACGAGCGCTTGCAATCAGTAAGTTCGCGAAAGGATGTTCAATCTGAGCACAACTGGGGTCAGCACTTCTCCCCTGTCTGCTGGATAGTTCCGGAGTGATCCAAGGCCCCTTGTGCGGCCGCGATCCCCGCGGCCTGACACACGTGTGACAGTGCCGCCTGCGCCGCAAGCTGCCACGCTCCGAACCTCTGGCCGGACGGTTTCTGCTCTTGGTCTGCCCGTCTTGCTGTCCACCACCATCTCAGGAGCTGCAGCTGATTCTTTCCTTGAAGACGAGCATTGCAGCCAGTCCAACAGCCAGGTACCCGGCTGTATAGGAAACTCTCGTTCCGAGTGGCCTCACACGTGTGGCGCGTGGTCTGGCAAAACACAGCAAGCTCTGAAGCAGTAGCACTCCATTACCTCTTCAATTCACTGAGCTCTGGGACGGGAAGCCGACTTCTCCCGTGAGAGTAGTACAGGACCCAGGAAGCACCTCATCTTGATGGAATTCATCTCCAGTTGGCGAGGCAGACACCAGGGTGCATTGAATTGTACAAAGAGTCCGCATCTTATCTGCTTCGAAGAGCACCCATCTTCACAAGGCAGTCCGTGAGGTGCCGTCTGCTTGGTGCAAGTCTCCAGAAATGGCATACTTGTGTTACTCACTGTGTTGCTGAAGCCCTAGGTCTGGCTGTGAATCACGCCCAGGAACACAGCAGTGGTCTCAGGCACAGGCAAAAACCTTCTCGTTTGCATCGGACTGGATGAAGCCGTAGTTTGGGCCAACCTACCGATGGCAATCGGACAGGGGATCCTCTGTGGTAACGTGGGCTGATGCTGAGAGATGGTAGCCATGGTCAGGGAAACGATTAACTTATAATGCCAGATACAACAACAGAAAGAAGCACTCATGGAAGCAATCAGCACATGCAATACCACCAACAGCATAGAAAAGAGCAATGCGCACCACAAGTGCATCGCAGCAGTTGAGCAACATGTGATACGCACCGTCGCAGTAGGAGGGGTGCGGCATCAGCGTGCCCAGAAGGTCTACGAAACCGAGCCCTTCCGACAGTCGGCCAGCCACCACAAGCAAATGTGCAAAGGCTTGCATATTTGGGCAACCTAAACCGGAATCATTCATCAAACATCAAAGCCTCCTGCCTACTACGCGCCTGGTACGTTCTTGTTGTTGCATCTGGTGTTTACCTTGTTGCCTCCCACAACGCACCAGTTGCGGGGTGTGCAAAACACTGCGAACCCAAAACTCTTTAGCCTGCATCGCAAGAAATTCGTACTGAAACACATGTTGCGACAGTGGTATGGGTACCGAGTCGAAAGAGGCAATATAACGGGTCACCAAAACAATTCTGGTCGCAAGGATCACACTATTTAATGGCAATAGCAACAGAACGCCAAGAAACCAGCCCCAGCACTACCATGACCATACCACAATTGCAAGGAAGAGGGTTCTGCAACCGCACTAGTAACCATGACGGCAAGGATTCGTTTGTCTGCTTTTCGGGATTTAACCCACACAAGACGGCGATGGCACAAGCATCAGCAGCGGCAGCAACGAGGCGCAAAGATATCAATGTTCATGCCAAAGGCAATGGACAAAATGATGCATGTCGTAACACATTTTCCTAGTCGCATTCTATTCTGGTAGATGTGAGTGGTAGCGCCCGGAACCTGCGTGACGGTCCCGGAACTGGTGGACATATTGCCACCCAGTCCGCCACCCATACCGCCGCCCATGCCACTCATCCTCAGGCATCGCAGCTGTGTTCTGTAGCGAACAGGTGCATCATGAGTCAAGTGGGGTTGTCCACTCGGACATTGCATTCACGCCCAACAACCATCCAAGCTGATACATCCAGTCAAAGTGTGAATCTGCTCAGACCGAGGGGCGGCGGGGCGTTCCAACCACCCTCCGGCATGACGTTCTCGGCGCGAGGGCGCCCCGTCTTCTGATCCTGATTTGCAGCTGCGAGTAGCTTTCACAATGAATTTCACTCCCGGGCAGACTGGCTGGTTCGATGCGTCTTGCTAAAAAGTTGTGCCTGCCACTGCTGATTGCTTGCTTGCTCTTCTAGCACTTACGAAAATTACTGCAAATACTGCTGCATCACTTCTTCTACGACTGCGCCCATGACGAGGACTACCACTACCGCGACGAGTAAGACTGCTGCAGCTGCTGCAACTGCCACCACTGCTGCCAATGCTACTGCCGCCTACGACTGCTACTACCACTGCGACGGCGACGACAACGACAACTGCTACTGCTACTAATTACTTGCCACTGCTACGACTACTACCTCCGACTCAGCCGACGACTACTACTTCCACTGCTAGTGCTAACTCCTGCTGACATGATCATCACCCCTGCGACTAGGGGTCGGCTTCATGACTTTAAGAGGTTCTACGGGCGACTGTATCGACCCCATCTGGACGAAGCTTGGTAAGTTACCTATCCCTCGAAACCTGGTGAACAGGACCGCCACTACCACCGCCGCCTGCACAATGTCAAACATCACGCGAGTTCCAACTGGTGGGAGCTCGCCGCCGCACGACTTCGGCAGGACGAACATCTCGCCCTTCCCGGATCTGATTTTTCAAGCAGGTGCCACTGCCATGGCCAAAGACCAACAACTTGCTTCGTGAGTTTTGGGGAACTCACAAAGTCTGAGTGGGGCCAAGCGGTACTTGGGCAGGTGTCAGCGGGGCAGGCTTAAAGAACAAGGTGCCTCACCATTATCCTGGTTGATGAAGCCAAACTGTGGTCCACCTGAGAAGCTGGTAGCAGGTCTTGACGCTGGCCGGGTTTTGCTCTCTCGGCTCTAATTACTCCACATCTTCTCAGAGCTCGCCCAACTTTCGCTGCCAAGCCGCTCTTGCCCATCGTGCCGGTCTTCATCCCCTGACTCAGGGCGAAGAGAATGCCACTAGGGACCGCGTTTAGCTTTGTAGGGCGACGCAGTTGAGCTGATTTTCAGCCAGCATCGTTCATGACTATGCAAGTGTAGACTACCACACAGCGGTAGCCACGGAACCTACCAGCACTGTGACGCCATGTCGATTCCTACCTGAGGCCCCGGGCCAATCTGACATTCTCGGCCCGGCTTTTGCCAGTTTTCGGGTCTGGGCCGATGTCGAACGCGACGCGGGTTCCGACAGGCGGAATTTGATTTCCTGGCACCGGCGGAAGCTAACTCGACTCGGGTCATGAGCAGCACTGTCTGTCGCGGTCGAGCTTGTAGCTGTCATTGTCCTCGTAGTAGCACCAATCGGACCAGACGGAGGCAAAGCTTCAACAACAAAATTAAGAAGCGATCGAATAGCAGTGCAACAGCACAAGTTTTCTGTTTGTGCCAGCACTGGCGCAAAAGCGGCAGCGCACAGCGGCGGCAGCGGCAGCGGCAGCAGCAGCGGCAGCAGCACCAGCAGCAGCAGCAGCAGCACCAGCACCGGCACCACCGCTACGACAAGAAGGCGAAGACAAGACAAGTAACAGGAGTTTGAAGCATGCTAACAGCGTGGGAAAACTATTAATTGCGTTAACACAGTCCGTTTTGCGCCGCGAACTCTCTCAGCAAAACAGGGGACCCCCCGCCCGGAAGGAAAATTCGTGCTCAAAGCCCCCCCTCCCCACGCGGGCTTTTTGCTACTGTACTAATCGGGCAGCCGCCGGTTCAATATGGGAGGGCCAAATGGACCCGGGGGCTCCTAGACTTTTGCACTTTGAAAGAGCCGAGTTTTCAGTTCTGTCGCAACCGATCTAAGTACGCACCCTCTTGAGACTTAGCGCAAACGTGCCGTCGAGGCCGAAAGCGGCGCAAGAGAAGGGTAGGACCTCGGCAGCTCGAGGGGGTCTCGACGGATTTCTGGCCCATAATCATACGACAGCTACTACGGCCTGCTAAGGTCGCCGCGTTGGGTGCGAGTTGTGTACTATGGCTGTTCCGCCATGACGATAGCAATGCCTACTACGGCAAAGATGCGCCTTCCTCGCGTACATAAAGCCAGAAAGCGTCGGCACTTGAGAATTAAACCCGACTTGACTAATATCCGAATACAGGTTGTTGCGCCCTCAAATGCAATTAAGAAAAAACCTCAGGTTTGCAATCCCCGGAACGTCCGATTGTGAGAGACAGGGGCTGTGGCAAAAATCTTCTCGCCATTATCCTGGTCGATGAAGCCATACCCGTTGCCTTGGCTGGTGTTGGCTGGGAAGCGCGACTCATTGATTCGGGAGTCCAAGAATTAATGCTCCACTGGTTTGGCCGTTGCTCGTTGCTGAAACGCCTCGGCTTTGTGGCACATGCTGTAACGACGAAGTCATCATTTCAGCTCCGACTGTTGCATCGATCTGTCCCGTGCGTGCAGTCAATATCTTGCGCAGCTTCAAGCGGTAGTCTAAGTTGGCGAGAAACTTGCTTGAAACTTTGCCTGACCTACCGCTTGCGAGCCGCTTGGCAACAGTCACTTCGGCATGGTGAGCGTGTTCCATGCGGTGTTCCATGCGCATGCCCTTGTGCGCGGACGCTTGAGGTGCGCATGCACGGTGACTCTCCGATTGGTACCACTGCAATCCACTGCACGAAACCCCACGACGAAGACTCTGCGAAACTTGCCTGCCCAAGCAAGTCCTGCGGACGGGCGAAAACAGTCGCGATTGTAATACTGGTTCCAAAGACGTGTTCGTTCTTCAAGCATGGGAGGTTGAGATTGATGTCCATGCACAAGTCGAAGATGCATCGAAAATCCACGGCACCAGGGCGCGGACAAACTTTGCCAACGACCTCAATCGCTTGCATGAACAGACACTTCAGGCGACAGGAATCGGAATCGAGATGGAGGATCGTAAACGGGTGAAGTACCCCATACGCACTCTCTCATCAAGTGAAGTGTTGGCTCGCATGCTGGGGCCCACGCGCCTAGGGTGCCAGTGCCATTGGCCGGAGCCTTCACACACGGGAGATGGACAAGTATGGACAAGCGCACTTTCAATGAGCTTGAACCAATCTCTTCCAAGAACTGCTTGGGTGCTGCACCCTATAGAGGAGGCTGCAACCCTTGATTCGAGCATTGCGTGTTTCGCCCAAGATCCGAACTGCGCTGCCCCCTTTTCCGTTTCCGACCTGGCAGCACAGCCGGTTCAGGTATGTCACTTTACTTGTTCGCCCCCTTCCGCTGACTTTGTCACCACAACAGAGGAAGCGACTGGTTAGAGTTAGAGGATGCAAACAATGCTACAGCGTCGGCAAGCATCGACACCCAACAAGTGGCAGCTCAAGCCTTGCTGGCATCCAGAGGTTGGACCTGAAGACACTTCTGAAGAGCAGGGCTTCAGGTTCACTTGGTCTTGGCCCAAATGCTCAGAGGCTCGGCTACGAGGCCGACCTCGTGCGAGTCCTGCTTCAAGGGCACTGCTGAATGGCAGATCTTCAGGAGAACGCGGAGGGTTGTGACAGCTTGCGGAAGTTGTCCAAGAGCCATGAAGACGCAATGCAGGGCTTGTCAGCTTGTTTTGTGTAGAGCATGCATAGCGTGCCGTATGCAAACAAATTATGAACGCACCCTACTCCTGCAGTCTGCCACTACATTGCCAGACGACTTTGCTCAAAATCCTCTGCTCTGGAGACATGTGCAGACAATAAAGTCGTATCTTCAATCGCGAGCGGCCTATGTATCGAGGCATCCGAACGCGCACCCTGACACTAAGCCCTAAAGCTTCGGACACTGTCCATAAAGTAACTCTTATCTAATCTAAGGTGCCTTTCAGTGTGGGAGGCCTGTCCGAGGCTGCTGCATTTTCGACCCGAGGGCCGGAATTCTTCGAATCGACAACAACGTCGTACATCACCTCCACCGTCCAATGCTCTCTTCCCCGAGTTCGCCAGGTGCAAATCCGCACAGGCGCTAGACACGTTCCGTACCCAGCATTAGGTCACCTCCGACAAGAATGACAAGATCATGGCACCCAAGGCTTGCGCCGCTTCAAGTCCCTGGAGGTCCTAGTTTCGGCCCCTGTTGAAGATGGGTGCCGCACCCGGGTGCCGACCGGGGGGATGGCGCTCTGGCCAAAGGCACGCTGGAATGAGCCGGGCCTGGGGGAGCTTCAGGCGGCCAGGCGGCTAAGATGCAAATGACATTCACCAGTCAGAAGACAACGATTCAAAGCATGAGCCCATGAAATCACAGGCAGGTGAAGAGGCGAAGAGTCTCACCATGCTCAGACCCCGAAGACGTTGGCAAAGATGAACATTCGTGTCACGACATGATATCTCTGATTGATCTCGTGTGCCGCATGGTCAGGTTTGCCAGGTTTCTGGGGTTGACCAACAAAAACGCTAGAGTACTGGACATGATCTTAAGTGCTTTCTCCTTTCTTGGTAGCAGGTGCTGCAACTGGGTCTGGGACAAGCAGGATATCTTGCTGCCATCATGGTCCTGCGCGATGATGCCATACTCGGCCTGCTGGGGTCACCAGGAAGTTGACTTCGATGCTCAGAACCAAATTTGAGCTACATTTTTACCTCCTACTTAGCAGGGGCGAGCCCGCATTGCAGGGTAGAAGTTCATTGGGTTTAGCCTAGGATTAGCGGTGCTACGCTTGCTTATTGTTCTCCGCGCTCCTCGGATCCTTCCAGAGGTTGGACCGAAATTGCACCGTCCCAACCAATAAACCCTGAAAGGAAGCCGCCGAGGGGCTGAGCTTTCTTGGATGGTGCCACTGAGTGTCCTTGGCCGGCGCGGACATTAGAAGAACCAAAACCGCATCTATCCCCGCAGCCACCGCGGCCACCACAACTAACCACCGCCATCCTCACCAGCATACTTTTCGAGATTCGAGCTGCGGGCCCAAGCTCTCACTCCACTTCAAAACAACAATGTATCTCCTGCTATCATCCCGATGCCAAAGGTTGCAACCCCTTTTACCGTCGAGCCTGGCCGGCTAGATCACGAACTTCCGGACTTCAACCTAGCCACAAAAAAGCCCAGATCACCAACCAAGGGCCTCAGGCTCAGAACCGACGAACCTTCTAAACCCCTGCTCAAGGTGCGTCCCCCCACCCCCCAGGCAAGAATGCTTGAGGACCCGGCCCAGTAGGTTGCTCACCTGTACAGCACTATCTTGGGAAACATCTACACGAAAACGTAGCATTGCCAACCGCGAGACTGCTGTTCAACGAGGGAACTGAATAACTTGCGAGAAATTTCGTCGCTGCAATGGTAAAGTCCTTCCGTAAGGTGATGGAAGCAGAAACGCTCACACCCATCACCATCATCACCCGAACCATCATTGGCGCCACTGCCGTCACCATCCAGCTCCTGCAAGGCTGGTAAACAGCGCGGAGCTCTGGAGTTTGCGGTCACTCACACTCGGAGAGGCTAGGCATTACCCTCTGGAAGCCGTAACCTGTAGTAATTACCTCTATGCGGAGATCCTACAGTCTCGACAGAGTAGCCCTTACAGCACAGCAAGCACACCCACATCGCAAGCCTTCCACAAAACAGAACGTCCAAAACCTCGTGTGGCTTTGGGGGCGGCCTGGCATGCCTGGCATGCCTGGCATCGCCGCATCGGATTCCGGGAAAACGTTCTCGGCTCGCGTCCGGAGCGTCCTCTCATCCACCACCAACTCATAGCCTCGAGCTTACCATCTTATCAGAGGACCAGAACTGTCTTTGATTGCCGGCTGGTGTCGATGCTGTACCCGCGGTTGGTGATGGGTGATCAGGATGGTGAACCTGTAGTTGTTTACGATTGTTTATGGTTGTGGTGGTGCCAGTGCCGGGCAGCCTGAACACCATCTGAACACCTCACGTCCACCAGGCCTGCTTCTTGGGAAGACGCAGGGAAGCAACGATGCAACAACTCCTGAATGGATCCAACTAACCAATGTATTGACCCAAGTACTACAGCTCAACTTTCGCGGGAGCCGATACAATCAATAGAAGCATGATGTGTACCTGTGCAAGTGCAAGCAAACCATGTGGACTCGAACTCTGGACTCGAGTCGATTGCACAAGCACCCAGCGCTAACCCTTGAATCATTCTATCATTACACTCGCAGGAAACGAGCAACACCGCCATAAAAATATGTGTCAAATTTCAAGGGCCGTACTCTTGCAAACCTTTCTGGGTCAGCGGCGCACCCTGGTCCCAATTGGCGGCAGAAGGTCATTGAAGCCTTTGCAGCCTTGTTTGTTACCGGTGGATGGGGTCAATGAGCCCAAGCCTTGCATTTTACGCAAAATGAACGGGTGACGACTCGCACAGCTTCGCGGACCGGGCGAGGGTTGAACAAGCGCAGGATCAAACGAGTTGTAAATTCCTTGCACTGCATGCCAGCAATTAAGGGAACTCAAAAATGGCACATCCACGGACACTTCACCGTCACCTGAAGGGACAGCATGTTTGGACCATTTCTCTTAGTCTTTAGAGCGGAAATCTGGCAGTCGAATTCTTCGCCTTGCGACGCTCGAACGTCACAGCAGCATGAATTGAACGTCGGGGTGCTTTTCGGCATGACGAACAGCTCGTCCGTGGCGCCATCCGGCTGGATGAAGCCTTGTGTGCTTGGTCCATCCCCTCTTCCGTCTGCTTGACCATATCTGCATCATCGAATATATCTATTTGTCTGTCTGGCTGTGCATTTCTGCTTCTCCTCCAGCTTCTCGAGCCGTTTGGCTTGACTTGGCTTGGATAAGTTGGTATTTTGGGTGGCTCGTCCGCGCGAGACTTGCCTTGCTGGGCCTCATGCAACCACCAATATCTTGTAATTCTTGAAAAGCATTAAACGAGTACAAACACGCAAACAGACACGCACACACAAACAAACTAACAAAGTAACATACATACCCCAGTACCTGTTTGTACCTGTGCCTGCGTAATTACATGCGTTGCGCATTGCAACGGTACAACTTGGTAAATGTAGACACGCACCTGCGCATGCAATCGTGCCTGAGAAAGGGTGTTACTCGCTTGTCCAATAGGTTCGGGTATCGTTCCCGCACACAAGTGCAGTATGCCCTTGCCGTCGGTGACTCCATCGGCTTGTCTATGCGTTCATGTGCCTGCATGCGTAGCTGTCCAAAGATCATTGCAAGGATCTCGAGGAGTTGCTGATACCGCCTGACAGACCAAAGGCAAGGTGGACTCGGGTTGCTCGCCTTTGTGGCACCTCTCCAAAGAACTCTAGACCAATCCCCGTAAAATTTAATTTCTCCTTGCAGCACGGGTGGCCGAAGGTGCCCAAGTTTTTGATGACCTTGCCTGGCAGCTTCAGTGGCTCTGCTCTGCCGTGCCGAACCGACTTGGTGGGCTCCTTCACCTCCCTCCGAAACCCTTCGAGCTTCGCCTGACTCCCGACGGCCCAGTTCGAACTCCCAACGTAAATTGTGCGTCTGAAGCACGCGCTTTGCACCTTAGACCATGAACCCCAAAGCCGAGCCCGGTCAAACCAAACTAGCACCTCACATCCCCGTGCAGATTCTAGTGCCATGGCCATGGTGATAACTCGTCCGGGCCTGCAAAAACATCACCTCCACCCATCAGTGGGTTCCCGGGACCTTCGGCACTGGTCTTTCGTGTCACAGAACCATTGCAGCAAGTTTCCAGGATTGAAAACTTGGATCTGTAAGACTTAGATTTGGCTGCAAGGTGCAAAGCTGCAGTGAGGTATCTCCCACTAGATTCGGCGCACCTCTGGCCTAGACACTTGCAAGCTTCCCAAGGGTAGTGCTCAGACACATCAACAAATACATAGATACTTGCGAGGTTGATTTACTTGCGAGGTTGATTTCGGCCCCCAAAGCAGTGCCGGACATCCACCACCGATCGAGCCTGCGATGGTTTGCGTCGTGGGATCCATTAGCACCTGCTCAAGCTGGAATTGTGATTTTAATGATCTCCTGGACGGGCCTGAGGCTCTGTGCACATAGAGCGGCCAGCCCAAGTGTTGGAGACACCAAGTGTTTGCAGTACCAGCCACAATTTCGACATCGTGTCCATGTTTGCTGACGTCTTTGTGCGCTTGTTCCCGGGATCTGAAGACTAGTCAAGGCCTGCAGATGCGGGGGCATCTCGTCGCGGTGTGTAAGTCTCAAAGCCCCGAGTTCAAACACGCATAAACTTGTGCGATTCAAGAGCCCCGAACCCACACCAAAAGCCTGGTCAAACAGGCGACTCGGGCGAACCCGCAGCTACTTCCCGCTGTTTCCGACAACACCGGCCTCCACAAGCCCATCTGTTGGGCGTCAAGACGGCGCTATTGTGGTTTTACAGGGGCAGTGAGCAGTACTATGGCTGTCATATGCTGACGAACCGATGTTTACGGCGATCTACCTAAGTCAAGAAATATCGTAGTCAGTGGGCTGGGCCAAAACGTTGCCAGAAGATGTGCTGTGACACCAGTCGCAGTAACCGTAGACATGACGACTTGTTGGGTCTATGCGTCTCCTTGCAGCCAATGGCAGCAGATTCTGCGAAATCGAAGCTGTGAGACGGACCTGTCGTCGAAGATGTGGCTGTTTGCACTGGCGGTGTGTGTCTCTGTGTGTGTGTGTCTACCCATTAAGTTGGAATTGGGGGGTCATTGTCGCTGCCGCGCTCACGGTTATAAGTTTTGAGCCCGGAGCTTCATGACCATGAATTAAGACATCATTGCATCATTACTGCTGGCTCTGCCCCATGGCCGAACTGCACGCAACACCGTGCCGAAGGTGCATCTCAACTCGTTGTTCTGGCTGCTCACGCGGCGTTTAGGGAATCTCGCCATTTCTCTGTCTTTGTTGTGCAGCACTTCGTGCAGCACGAAACGGGCACGTCCCTGAGAACACCAGATCTCAAACATCAAAGCTGCGAAATGCTGCTTAGGCCTTGCTGTTTGGCGAACTCCGGTCTGTTGCAAGGCTATCTCGCAGCTCTCCTTGTCAATCTATTGTCGCAGCTTTGTGAGGTTCCATTCAAGGGAGGCTAGGAAGCCACGCAAACAGTCGCAAGCCCAAGAGGCTGAGACTGCTGGGAACTCGGTGCATTATCTGTCCAGACTGCTCCCAGGCTGGATTTGCGCAGGGTTAGTGTGACTGTCTCTGTCAAGGGCTACCGATCCGTGTTACAATACAGGAGCAGTGTTGCTGCCGAGCCAGAGAGGCTCTGATGCCAATCCACTCATTCCGTGTCTCCTGGGCTCCATGACTGCACTGGCGTCATAGTACATGTCTGCTATGCCAGAGCCAAACAAGCCCATACACGAAAACCCTGCAGCAGAATGACCTAGGGAAATTCCGAACAAGTCGCAATCTGAGAAATGAAGCTGCCACCACGATTCGGTCATTTGCCTTCTTGTTCTTTTTCTTAGGCTTTTGCCTGATTTCGCGGCTAGTCGTGAGCGCTAGTCTATAGGGTTCGGGCTTTTCAAGGTTCAAGGGTCTGTGGCTTGGTCAAGCGTGCAAGGGCTGTCCCTCCACACTCCCATGCTCTGAGCTCTGAGCACTGAAACAAAAACACGTGCAAATCGCAACATTGGAGTCCGATGAAGGGCCGAATTCTTGCCAGCTCAAGTACACTTGCGAGCAGCTAGCCTAGTTCACGCTATTTGGTTCAAGAGGCTCTTGCAAAGCTGAACCTAGGAGGTCGTCACCACTGGCTTCTGGGAGACGCGCTTCTCCCTCCTGAGTCCACGAAGCATCGAATTGAATCCAGGCTTCAGGGCAGCTGCTTTTGGGGGAGTTGGTGTGGGCTCAAGATTCAAACTCTCGCAAACGAAAAACCCGGCTGAGCTGCTGGATCCCAAGAGTGCTCAGCACTCGCAGGGCTAGTGACTAGTGCTCCAGAAAGCGACAAGATCGCATCATATCGCATGGCTCACACACCAAGCGATGTTCCAAAGCCCAGAGCATCTGCAGACATGCAAACAACCACCTTGAAGAAAACAACAAGAGCGAACATAATGAATCTTTTAGCTGTGGTGCGTCAAGAACCCGTACAGAAATCGCATCCACAGGCTCGTCCGCTGCCTCAGCACGAGGATTGCGAGCAGAGAGCGTACAAGATGAATTTGCTCGGAGCTGTCTTAGTATAGCATCATCCCTTAGTTGCGAACGAGACAGGTTGGAGATCACGAATGGAAAGCTCTCGCATCAACCAAGGGCAACAGCAACAAGGCCCGATAAAAATAACCCGGAGCTGTTCCAAAGCACAGATGAAAACTGCAGTCTACTTTGCTCTCGCACCCAGGACTCTGTTTCGTTCGGCTGTTTAAGACCGACCTTGATTGACCCAGCCACGTCACGCAGGGCTGTTTTTGACCAACATCCACCGGCTCCATTTCTACCCATACCCGCGGCCCAGATCCGCAACCCGTGCCTGCTGCACCTGTGTTAGAGGGTTCTTATTTCGAGGTGCTCTCTACTAGCTATCGTGATGTACGGATTGTATCGGAATACAGGCTTGCATGTTAATAGTCTTGGGCTCGGGGCAGATGGATCCGATTTGTCTTTCTTTTGCTTCTTCTCCTGCCACGGGGTCGCACCATGAGCTTACTGAAGCAAAGGTTAACGTTGCAAAATCAAAACGAGCATGCATGCAGTTAGTATCACCGCTACTATTGGCATCGTCAACTGCTTCCTGATGCATCGCCTACTTCCCCGCTAAAACCTTCCTTCAGTTGCGTTACAACTATTTCGGCTATTGCCACAACAGCCAGGCTTTCTCGTCGTTACCATCCCCGTACAGCCTCGGCCTCAACAAAACCGGGACCTTCTCTCTTTCATACCACATTCACCCACCCTCCCAACTCCTGCCCTAAGAGCCAATCTACCCCGATGTCCTTCTTCTCCTTCTTTTCCTTCTTCGCCTTCTTCTCCTCTATCTCCGGCTCATCACCGATGGTGGAGTCCTTGCTTCATGCTGCTGGAGGCTGTCCGACAGCTGTTTCACACAAGCGATGCCAAAAGCAGCAACATCCGAAGGCTACGCTCGCCAGGCGGCAGGTGGCAAGCTCTCTGTGTCCCCCTGCTTCCCCACGACAGTCGATGAAGGAACCATCACGCCTGCTCTCGCTTCGCAAGCCCCATGTGCTCCAAAGTGCATGCAGCTTTGGGTTGGGGGGGGGCAAAGTTAGAGGGAAAGGGTCGATGGAAAGATCATCCAATCCAGGGTCTCTTGGTTGAACCGGCGTATGCTCTAGCAACAAGCATTCAATCCCCTGCAACAGCTGCAAAAGCTGGGCGACCTACAACGGTTTAGCAGTAGCATGATCAATAATCTTCTTTGTGAAAAAAACGCTTGGTTCGGCCTGGTGTTGGCGTTGCTTCTGTGCCGTCCTCGAGCAAAGTGGTTTTCTCCTGGCACTTGAGGTATTTTTCGACCTCTGTCACGACTTAGAACCAAAGGTTTAGCTGGAGCAGGGTGAGAGGGGCGGTTCATGCATCTCCTGCAAGGAGCCTCTTGTGACCCAAAGAGTTCATCGCCGGTACTGTTGTTGAACGCCACCTTCAGTAAAGACCCATCCCTGCTGGACTCTCAACTCAAATCCCCGTCCTGATTGCGATTCTTCCGCTTGTCCCGTGCCTTCTTGGCTCGAATTCTGGCCTCTTTGGCTCGATCCCGCTTACCTGCACCGACGTAGATGCCACAGTTCCTGGTCGCAGTGCAACCGATTACTATGTGAGGCGAGGTCCCAGAGTTTCACAGTTCGGGCAAGCCAAAACGCTATCCTCGCCTGAGGAGCCTGGCCATGCACCCGTTGGAGGGCGGTCCATGATCAGCCGACATACTGACGTCGTCCATGGCGTTCTTCCTGACTGAAGGAGCAGCTTAGATTCTCAGGTAGATCTGATTTACACAGTTTAGAGTCGAGAAGTGCTTGAAACCCTAGTGTCGGCATTCCATCGCGACCAGAATCGCGGGGGTGCTGCTCCGGCAACTGTTCCCACAGCAACTACCCAGAACATCCGAGAACCCAATCTTTCGTGCTGAGCATCTGGATATGCCGAACAGCAGCGATGCCCAATATCGCGCAGCACAAAATCACAGCACCGGTTATGCCGACGATCATGCCAAGCATTTGCATCGACACCTGTGCCTGCGGCTCAAAGAAGCTGTCGCAGTCTGTTGTTGCCTCAGTCCAGGCAACGGCGCAGTCAACGGCATCCGGTAGGACTGATCAAATCGAGATTGCCTTTTGCCAAGCGACAGTGTCGGTAGTTGGGCATCTTCCATACTTGTCTTCCTGGTCGATGGGGTCCACAGTCTGGCAGCCACCATCCGTTGAACCATCCAGATTCAAAGTGTCCTGCGTCTGGAAGCGATCATGCCAAGGCGGCACATACCCGTGAACATGCTTGTGTGCTGTCTGCAAGGTTATGTTGCACATCTCTTTTCCGACATCATGGGCCCGGCACCAAGTGCACCAAAGCTGACCCAAGGCGAGATCACAACATGGACTTAGAACGAGGCCAAGACGAAAGCCACGAACATCTAGGTGGAAGGTGGGTTGAGGCGACAATACAAAACTCGGCCGGTGATCCAAGCAAGCAACGAAGGACTTTGCCAGAAAGACTGTAGAGGAATGGTGATTCATGTGCAATCTCGGCCACACCGTACCCCATCGACTCACCACAGCTCGAAGACACGTGCAGTATCCTAGAGCCTTGTGATGCAAAGCTGTCGGCTGTCGCCATTGGGCTGTTGTAGCTTGGAAGACTAGCGACGGCGGCGACGGGAACGTGGCCCTAGACGATGAGCTGCGCTGCGCAAGACCGGGCTGCCTCTGTGCACTTGCGCTCCACCAGCTGTGCGAGATCTGCGGACTTGCCTGCATCTCTCATATCTCATTGAAGCTTCTGCTGGCAATCGACTATTCGTTCACTTCCTTCGCAAGCCGCTTCGCAAGGTCTGCGAGAAAGGCCTCGGCCTCTCGATCCGCCGCGCGACCTCGTTGAAGGGTTCTGAGGCTTTTGCTCGCGCTTCGCTGGTCTCAGCATTCATTCTCAATGGCCCAGAAAGCCTAGGTGACGTAGATGTCTCGAACGCCACCGTTTAGGGCGTCTGCTGGCTGAGCCAAGAGCCCCGAAGCCTCCACCTTGCCAGGCCTCGTTTGCGAAGGACTTGTCTCCGAAGCTGCAGACGTGGCTCTTGTTCGTCAGCTTCGTCACCTTGGAGATCTGGCTATTGACTATTGAAGGTCTCGGAGGCAAACTTGCCAAGGTCGTCGTCCGGCATCCAATTCACAGAGAAGACATCTCCCAGGCAAGAGCCGATGTTTTTGCCCCGGACCAAAGCTGCATCCCCACAGCAGGTTCCCCATGAAGACTCCTTTGCGTTCGAAGCGATCACTGCCAGGATCTTGCCATCCTCCTCCAGATCCGGGAACATGAAGCCACTATGAGCCACTCTCGCAGGCCTCCATGTAGAAGACCATCTGCTTGAACATCTGCATGCTCTGCATGGTCTTCAGGGTCTTGGACAGATCCTTGACATGCAGGAAGGGACCATTGGGAAACGCTCCGATGCCAGGGCCACCGCGGTCTACGAAGTTGACGACAACGGTATCGTCGGCTTTGCTCTTCAGAACCTTGCCGGCTCCCTGGGTGTTCCCTGTGAGCACATCCATGAAGAGCTGGGCTGTTACTATGCCTCCTCGATAGTCCAGCTCGCAGCCCTCATACACATCCGGGGAGTCATGTCATGGGCGATTGAACAACTGGCCGGGGAAGGGGTTTTCTGAATCCAGGGCCACATCGTCCTGCATCATGAGAATGATGTTGTCGGCGGCGGTGTCAAGCTTCCGCACCAGCTGGTAGGCATGACAGGCATCAGCTTGGTACCGGTAGTTCCAGAAGCCCTTCGAGACAGCAGCAATCACCGCCCACTTATCTGCCGCGGCTAGTGACGGCTAGCGGCTAGTGTCGGAAGGAGATCAGGAAAGCTCGGAGTGCCATTCTGGAACCCTCAGCTAAGCTTGGAGGCGTTGGATGGGCTCGGATTCTGCCAGGTGCTGTTACGCTCGGAAGGGCGTCCACGTAGAAAGACAGCTGCAGGCGAATCTCTGCCGACATTGCCGCAACACCGGGACTATGTAAATTATGTATTGGGTTCTGGTGCTGGGGGCAGGCTCAACAGTGCGGACAGAAGCTCTCCTCGCTCACGAAGAGCAGCAGCGCATACCAAATCGAGTGCGTGAAGAAGACGCACTCGTCAAAAGCCTCAAGGCTCAAAGTCTGCAAGTTGCATCGGCCTCCGAAAATCTGAGGCCTCGGCCGCCTTAGCCTCGGTGATATTTTGATTGTACCTTGCATGCGCCACAAGACATGATGGCAGAAGGAACTTCAAGGTACTTAGGAACTCACTGGGCTGCCTTATCTTCCGCAACTTCTCTGCTCATGACAAGCTGCGCGTACTTCTCTGAAGACTGATGACTGGGAATTTACATCGAACCTTCTGATGAGAACATTGATTTGGATTGCTCTCCTAGAACCACCACCACCACGACGACGACGATGACGACTCTTCTACTCTTCTTGCTGCTGCTGCTGCTACTACTGCTGCTACTGCTGCTACTGCTGCTGCTACGGCTACTACGGCTACTACTGCTACTAC